GCTGGAACTGCACGACGTCGTCGTCGGACAGCTGGGTCGAGAAATCCGCGCGCGAGCAGATGCTGGCGCCCGGGCCGTAGTTGTTGTACTCGCCGAAGACGACGCCGTCGGTCTGTGGGCTGGACGTCGACCACTGGTTCCATCCTGCCGCGGAGATCATCGAGTCGAAGTAGGAGTAAATGTAGGCGACACGGGCGTACGAGTTCCATGGACGGCCGAGAGCGACGTTGGTGAAGGTGCTGCCGGAGACAGGTTGGAGCGTGCACTGATCGAAGACCATGCCGACCATGGTAGTGTTCGAAGCGCGCTTGTCGGCGGTTATGCTGACGCCGTCCTCGTTGGGCGAGATAGTGGTGTCGAGGAAGTATGCGGAGCCGGAGCCGTAGATGAAATCGACGTTGCCCTCGATGTAGGATTGGAAGGTGAAAAGATTACCGCTAATGTATAGCGTGTCCTGGTTACCGTAGACCTGGCAAGAGTAGAGAGCGGCGTACTTGCTGCTCTGCACTGCGAAGCCGAGCGAGGCGATGTCTTCCTGCGTGCCGTTGTCGTTGCGGAAGTTGACGTTGTAGGCGTAGAAGTAGTTGCCCTTTGCGAAGACGGTGGCGCTGTCGCTGTTGGATTGGTCGGCGCCCGTGTCGACCCCGTAGCTTTGGGTGATCGTCACCTGGTTCTGGGAGTAGTCGGCGGTGGCCTCGGAGTAACCTTGGAAGATGGTGGTGCCGGACTTGTTCAGCACAAGCTGTTCATTGTAGGTACCTGGGTAGATGAAAATGGTGGCGTTGGTCTTGGACGAGGTTGGCGCGGCGTTGATGGCTTCCTGAATAGTCTCGTAGGTGGTCACGCCGTCGATGGCAGTCTTGGAGACAATGATGGCGTCAGATGGTGGGGTCGTGCCATCGTATGTCGAGTTTCCGCTGACGGTAGTGTTGACCGCAGTCACGTTCTCGACAGTTGGCTGAGGAGTAATGATAGAGTTCCAGAAAGTCATGTCGATCCACTCGGTGGAATCCATAACGGACTCAAGTGGGTAGTCATCTTCAGTCAGGAGGGTAGCGTTTCCGAAAGCCTCTCTGGCAGCAGTGTTGTTCTCCCAGTTAGATGGACCGCTGTTGTTGAACTCGGCGAAGGCGATGTGGTCGGTACGAGGGTCACTGGTGGACCAGATCTTCCATCCGGAGGGGCTGATGACGGAATCAAGGTACGAGTTCTTCACGACGACCAAGGCGTACGCGCTGTAAGGCCTGCCAAGGTAAACAGTGCCGTCAACGTCGCTGGACACACCGTCGGCTTCAGTGAAAAGGCACTGGTCAAAGATATAACCACCGATAGCGCTTGAGTCAGCCCTGCTCTGAGCCGTAATGCAGGACTTGGCCCGCTTGGAAGCGAGGGTGCATCCCTTGAAGTAAGCCTTGCTGTAACCCCAGATATAGTCGATCGCGCCGTCGATGTAGCAAGATTCGTAGTACTGGTAGCCATTCGTCTGACCAGTAAGAAGGGTGTCTTGCCAGCCGATGAAAGAGCATCCATAGAATGCGATATCATTTCCGTAGATGGAAGCAGCCAGGGTGACGTAAGAAGACGTCGCACCATCAAGGTTGTCGGTGTTAATGATGTCGATGTTGTAGAAGGAGATGCGGTTCGACTCAGTAGCGAGAGTGGCAGTCTCCGCATCAGAGTGGCCGGCTGGGAGAGGAGAGACAGAAAGACCACGGGAGTATGTAATGGTGACCTCGTTGTCCGCATAAGACTGACCGGGGCTTCCGCTGGTGTAACCAATAATACGCACCGGACCGGACCTGTCAATGGAGGGAACTTGCTCGTTGTAAGAGCCTGGGTAGAGGAAGATGGTCTGGTTGGTGTCATCGTTTGGAAGCGAATCCAGCGCAGCGGTGAGGTTAGTGAAAGATGCATTGTTGCTGCCATCGACGGAAACAATTACAGCATCGACAGGTGGAACAGTACCACTATCTGGGTGGGCGTTCACGGTGGCGTTGGTTGGGTAGGTGTATGTCTTGATGGCTGCGATGGTTGCGTTGTAGGACTCAATCTGGGACTCATCCGAGCTGCTAATGGCTGCAAGCACATCCTCATCGATCCAAGAAAGGTCGGTGATGCCATATGGTGAGAAAGCCGCCGCAAAGACTTTGTCAATGGTGAACTCAGACACCTCATCAGCAGTGAGAGACTCCTCGTACTGGCGCGAGGATGTGTTCTCATCGTAAGAGCCATCGCCCGAGGTCTCGAACTCGCCATAGTAGGTTTGCACTCCGCTAGCAGAGGAGTGGATACCAGCAGCATTGATGAAGCTTCCCATAGACGTGCCCCTGAAGATGGCTTGGGCACCATTCGAGTTAGGAGCGGCCAGGTAGACACCAGTGTTCGAGGAACCCGACTTCTGCTCAATAGAGCTAGTGTCGAAGACAACTGTGGAGTTGTAGAAAGTGCTGTCAATGGTCGTACCCTTGGTGTACACAATGTTTGCGCTTGAAGTGGTGGGTGAAATAGTCGAGCCGTAAATGTAGATAGTTGGGTAGTTGTAGAAAAGCTTGTCCGAACCCTCGATGTACGAGTAGGCGATCAAGGTAGTACCATATGATGAAGAGACAGCAGTGGCCCCCACAGAGATGAGAGAGCAACCGTAGAAAGCAACGTAGTCACCCTGTAGCTTGGCAACAACGGCGTTGGAAGAGCTGGTGACATTGTTGATGAAGTTGATGTTCTTGAAGGCAACACCCTTGGTACCACTAGACATGCTGACAGCAGTTGGGGTGGCCGTCGGAGCGGAGACGGCAACCAGGTTCTCGGACCAGTCGCTGACAGCAGCAGCGGTTTCACCAACAAGGGTGACGGTCTGAGTACCAGCAACACTGACGAACTCGGTATAGGTACCGGCCAAGATGGTCACGGTAGGGATACCGCTGTTCTGGGCGGCAGTGACAGCTTCGCCAATGGCGGTGTACTGCCCAGAGCCATCAGTGGCAACGGTGATGGCAGCGCCGCTTGCCGAAGAAGTGGCAGAGGCGGTGCTGTTGGAGGAGCTACCTTGAGCAGCAGCAAGGCCGATAAGGCCCAACAGGAAGAAAGAACGCATAACGAACGGACACCACCTCAAAGGAGGAGGATTTCGAAAGGAACGAATGAACGAAAAGGACGAAGAGCGCACGCTGTATGATTTCAGGACTCACCTGGCGGGAATATCTCCTGATATATAGTCCTTCAGAACATGTCTATACCATCCTACACGTTGGATCTTGTTCACCTTGCTTGACCCAGTTGGGTAAGGCTATCAGCAACGCTTTACTAGGGCAGGCACATACCAGCCAAACCGTCTCGCGTATTGTGTTAACTCGTCCCCTGCTCCAGCCGTTGGAGAGTAGTGAGTACAAAGGAAAGGAGAGTGACGAAGATCACCCGCACCGACCAGAAGTCAAACGTGCTGCCATGTGTTGTAATGCCTTCTTATGGAATGGTCCGCGCGGAATTGCAAACCTTGCCATGTAGCTATAAGGTCACGGAAGGCTTTCGAACAACGTCGAGGCCTGCCTTCGCCGCGATAATTCTGCGTGTTTGTATGCCAAGTAGCATGTGCTGTTTAGCGGTGGGCCAGCAAGATAGGAGGGCCCCTCCTAGTGCCTAGCGAATCAACTTCGGTCCCTCCGAACGATCCTACAGACCCCTGGGCACGTGTCGATCCCAAAGCAGCCCTCTAACCAAGATTTGGATCCTACTTTTCTCCACAAAGTACTGTGTCTAGTGCTCCAACTCGCTTCATCTTTCCTTCACTGTGTATCCTACACCGCCCACCTCGTATACCAGGAGACATACCTGTATCTGCTCCTCAGTCTGACCGCGGACGCGTAATTTGTCAGCAATGCCTCCGAAGAGTTCCGCAAGGTGCATAGAAAAGGCCATGGCTCAGGTAGCGGAGGAAGTCGTGTGTACCCAAGCGTTGTAGAGTTTCTATCTGTGCATTTAGACTTTCTTGGCCACGTGCAATGTGCGTTTAAGCTCCAGGTCGTGGTGTATTTTTACCGGTATGACATCGACAGGAGTGAGTATAAACGTTATAGGCATTTTCGTGCCTGTATCCTATGCTGTTCTCCTTCATCCTCTGGTGGGCGACCTCATGTGCTCGGAGAAGGCTGAGATTGTTCGCTCTCGTCCGTACAGCGTGGATCCAAGCCCTAGATACTCGTACTTTCTAGTGTCAGTAGCTTCGGAAAAAATACCACAAAGGCCAAGGCCAGCCTTCTTCGGTATAACGGTCAAGGAACGACTGCGCGAGAACGCGATGACGGCGAAACCGTGGATATAATACCGCCGAAGCTATCCTGGAAGGTACCAAGCTTTCCCAATCGCCTGGAAGCCGATGCCGCCAGCCCAGACACCTGGACGAACCTCTCCATACTGGGTCTGCGGAGCGAGTTCATCAAAATTGACCGATGGAGTATGTCGATCACTTGGGGGAACGAGCGGAGAAATATATTGAGCAAACTCGTGGATGGAGCTCTGTCGATCAGTCGAAAAGCCATGAACATATCGTCGGAGTCTGAGATAGTCCGTTGTGTCGGCCATGTATATAAACATGTATAAGAGTAGGTATACAAGAAAACGGATACTGTTGTATTGATTGCCAAGTAGACCTTATTTCCAACCACCTACGCAATGACTGTTAAAAAGTATATTAACAGAATATGGTTTTATAGCAAAAAGCATATCGCATCGCCGCGGCGGCATAGAATATACGCCTCGGCAAATGAGACTCCCCTTCGACCGGTGTTGTAGTAGCGGAGTGATGTAGAAGGGCGCGAAAATAGTACGTCGCAGGACATAGTTGGTGGTTCGATTTAGAATCCAGCCACCAGCCTTGAAACTGGCTTTCCGACCATAATGTCCGTACAAAAATCAAGTGATGATGTTAGGTAGCCGGGAAAGAGGCATAGTCGGTACCCCTTTATATGTGGCTCGAGCAGAAAAAAGAAAGGGCAAAAGTAAAGTCTCCAATACCTGGATCGAACAGGTGACCTTTCGATAACAATGAAGTTCTCAATTACAGTCGAACGCTCTTCCAGCTGAGCTAATTGGAGGAGGGAGACTTTAGTCACGTGATAGACAGCGACTGCCGCGAATCCATATACCCTTTGGATCAGACCTGGACTAGGTCGCCAATAGACTGCTGCATACGTACACGTAAGTAGGGTAAGGGCAATGGAATCACAATTGCAGCGCCGGTGAATGATTCTCCTCGGATAATGATAAAGTTCAGTTTACGTCTCATCCGCGAAAGTAGCACAGTGAAACAAAAGAGAAACCGTACAGTAATTATCCAGGATTATATATAGAAAACGGAGATGATGAGGATACTCCTGGGTCAGATGCGCGCTGAAGACCCTCTTAGAATTTGGCGAAACCCAGCTCGTATGCCAGACCGAGCGTCAGCTTCGCGTGCTGGAGCATATGGTCAAAGTTGAGGAACTCAATTTTGTCCTCCGTGGTGTGGATCTTCGAGTCGCTGTACTTGAAGTCGCTCTCGATCACGAATGCGCTTGGGTAGCCAGCCTTGCTTGCGCTTGCGTGATCTGAGCATGCATATCCGCACTCGGTGAGGATGTACGGGATGTCACAGTAAGCAGTAATGACCTTCTTAATGAATGAAGTAAGGCCAGGATCAACGAAGTCGGTGATGACTCCTACGGATTCTGGCTCGCCAGCATCCAAGGTCTTCTGAACATAACCAGTCATGTCCTGCTGGAGCATGGCTTTGACGCCACGGCCTTGCTTCTCGTAGCTGCTGAAGATGGCTTGAGAACCGAGCAGTCCGCCCTCCTCAGCGCTGTACCAGTGGAACTCAATCGTGTTGTTCTGGTTGCCGGCCACAATGTCTTCGTCCATCAGCAATACACGAAGAGCTTCGAGGATGGTGACGGTTCCGGAACCATCATCGTCTGCGCCGGGTGCCGCGAGGAGCGAAGGGAAGAAGAGGTTGATGCTATCTTGGTGTGCACCAATAACAACAGTCTTCTCTGACTTGCCCGGAAGAGTAGCAATAATGCTGCTTTGTCCCCATGGGTGGTGGAAAGGCTTGACGCTTGCTCCGTGCTTCAATGCCCCTGCTTCCGACAGTGTCTCATTCACCCTCTTCAGCAGCCAACGCGAAGATTGTGCGCCATAGTCGGACTTGTAGTAGCGCGTGTGGAAGGATGTGAACTTCTCCAAGTTCGCGTGCATGTTCTTCTTCTCCAGCTTCTTGAGCAGTGGCCTGACGGAAGAGCTCTGGGCCATTTCGTGGGGGTATGTCACGACGGAGTTCGACTTCGGCACGCTTCCAAGATCGGGAGTGTATGTCATATCGTAAAACATGCGGCCTTGCTATAATGCTGTTAGCGCTCTCATCCGTTCTGTTGCTGTAACAGCACTAACCCTTCTCAACTCCCATTTCTCTGACTCCGTCACCCATCTCGTCTCACCAGGTGCAAGCTCAATGAGGAATCTCTCTGGCTCGGAAAACGGAGACTGCACTTGCTGATAAACATCTTGCGCTACCTTGGGTATCGATAGCGCCTGGACAGCAAGAGTCGAAGCGCATGCGGCGAGGATGAGCGAGGACTTCATGATGGCTCTGTAACTGGTTGCTCAAAGACTCAATAATTCCAGTATGGACGCCAACGATGTATCTCGCGTGGTGATCGTGTAGTATTAACAGTAAGGTAGGTATGTGGAGGATGCATGTGCCTGATGCCTTGGGATGCGTCATTAAGTGAAGTCCGAGCGTACGCCAAGCAATCTGGGACCGACTCATGGACATCTGCGACCTACAAGTACCTTGTCTCTACGCGATGGCAGATGTATGGTAAATAGTACCACTTTCAATCGAACGAGCTGAGATATGAAGCTGTTGATGAGATTTATACTTCTGAACTCAAACCTAATACTCTGTCGGTTCAATCAAGAGGGTTCCCCACCTCACCCACGCTCATAGGTCAATAAGTGTTCAGCAAAACCCTAGGTACCACTCCTCTTTTCTCGCGATGCGGTCTGTATTTGAGCCAGTCCCCCCTATGACCAACTGTCTTATCTGGTCTCAATATGCACCTCCATCTTGCCCTCAGTCTCTTTGATCTCTTCCAGGCCACCTGCAACACCCATCGTCCACTTGGTGCACACACCAAGTCTAGCCCTCATAGCGTCAATGGTCTCCTTCGTCTTGTTGTTCACTTTTTGTAGGGCAACGAGCTTGCTCTCTTGATATGTTTCGGTCCACTCTTTTCGCTGTTTTGATTTCTTGGGATCGTTCCACCACTGCTCTCTTGTCTCATCTAGGATGTCGAGCATGGTGATGAGGTCCGAGACGTTGGCCGCGAGTGAAGGCTGCAGCTTCTCCAAAGCTGTAAGGTTGCCTTGCTTTTGCATCTTCGAAAATTGGTCTGCGAAAGGGTGTGCTTTCTCCACCAGCAGTTTCATGTCGCTGATGTGACTTTCTAGTGGCTTGGGCTGTGTGACTGTCAATACATTTGTTGGAATAAGCATCAAACCCCACTACTGGTTACCTACCCAGCGAACCTCCTCCGACAGGGATTCGAGCAAGCAGATCTGACACATGTTGGCGTGCAAAGGCTTATTTTCGATTCTTTCGTCTTTTTGAAGGTGTTGAAGAGCCGCTGATAGAGCGCAAGATGATTAATGAGATCGAAGGATAACGTTGGATCTTTGTAAAAGAATTATCCAACCGCAGAAGAGAGGTAGGTATGGGTGTGTGACTACCTTATCAACGGTGCGAATGTACGCTTGCCAACACGTGGGCACGTGTGATGTTGTGTTGTAGGCGCGTATTCTGGTGCACATGTGAATGTTCGCAACGAATTCACGAGTCGTGAATGTAGGGTCACAGTGTTAAGACTACAAGGTTGCCGAGCTACGTCGAGCTGAATTTAAGCGTCGACCTCTTAGAGCAGCCTGGCAAGGATGTCTATACATAGATATAGGCTCGAAGACCCGGCGTGACATACAAAGACCTTCACCGGAGGTCTTGAACTCACATTGTCCTGCCAGACGTCACAAGTGTCCATATGGCGTGCAGTATCGAGGTTTGTAGTCTGATCCCTGGTGATCACTTCATACCCAAGGGACTGATTATCGACAAAAAGGCTCATTCTTAAAGCATATCGATGGTTCATTTGATTAGCTTGTAGACGATCTACGTCAAGGAAAGTATCCAGATTCCCGACGGCTGAGTCAGTCACGCCATAGCACCTATCCGACCCTAGCCAATACCTCCCATCCATATTGATCCCATCCCATCCCATTCCGTGTCCCAATGTCCGGTTCCATTAACGCCGCGTAAACATGACCCATCTCTTAGTTGACATTGCAGAGGAGCTCTGCCTCAAGGATGTACTTGCCCTCCTTGTACTTCTCCGTCTGCTCATAGGCCTTGTCATATTTCCAACCCACTGTGTCCTTGCATTGCTTGCAGCATATGTCTCTCACAATGTGTCTGCCTGTTGTCATGTTTCTCTCGCCCGCCTCGCCCTGAATAACGTTCACGACTTCGTTGAACAGGAAAGCCTTGCCATGTTGGCCGCGGAAGTTCTATGTAGGAGGTATATGTCAGCGTTCGTGCCATCACGGTGGTAGTATGCAACCAGATCAGGTATGAGGATCACTAACCCTGCTCATAATAGCATCGTGATCTGCGAGATGCGTCTTGCAGTTTTTGCAACCGTAGATTCTCTTCGCGTTGAGGTAGACGTTGTAAGCTAGACCCATTACTGAACCGATCAGGCTTGCTGCCTGAAGTAGAACTCCCTAAAAGGCTCGGTTCTAGAGGAGTCGTAGGGAACTCTTATGGAGGTGTATGGTAGTGAGGCAGTTTGCACAGCGGTCCTCAGGGTGTTACAGGATGCGTCAAAGAGGTGCTTCACTGAATCAGCTGACCAGGTCAACTGATCCAGCTAGTTGTGTTGAGCAACAATGGTGATAGGAGAAGCGACAGTTGATTGCGTCTTGGTGAAGAAGTTGGCTCGTTCTATTGCTAGGCGAGACGGGGCTTCTCTTTGGAGAGGATACAGGAAGGAGAAAGGGCGGTCTGGCGCTGTGGAGAGTAGATATGCGCTGATCTGGACTAGGACAAAGTCGGTAGAGTTGGACAATGTCGGCGGAGCAGTAGGCGGAGATGTATATTGCAGAATCAGGGTCTGTAAACGCGGGAGTGAGCACTTGAGCAGGGGTTAGAAGGGACAAGTAGATTGAAGGAAGCTATCTGCCTGGTCTGATGTCGTTCATGTAGCGGGGAAGGCGGCATAGAGCGGCTGCCATTCGGGAGGAGGACGGGAAGCTTAGGCCCACCGGTCAATGACTTCGTCAACAGGTGGGCCAGTCACGTGAAAGCGTACATTGACTGTCGCCTGCCGATCTCGCAGTCATTGTTGCTGCATTCTCCCGTCGCAACATAAGTTTTCTGTATCTATATTTGTCTCTCCTTTTTGTTTGCGTATTTGCCGATCTTCAAGGATCTTGCCGACACCATCCTGGCAAAAATCGGAAGTTGCTACCGCCGACCGGCTGCTCACGCTTAACATCGATCCTTAAACCCCACCCCAGTGTCACCATTTACATCTAGACGACACATGGCCGAACAAACTCTCAATATCCCACAGCTCATTGCTGTCGTCCTCGTTGGTTTCCTGGCGATTCGATGGTTTCTCTCACCGGCCTCACCCAACCAAAATGCTAGTAGTCGGAATGCTGGGCGACAGGTCAATCCGGCGCATGTGGAACAGATAGCGCAGATGTTCCCACAATTAGATCGGAGGGCCATTGTGTGGGATCTGCTACGCAATGGAGGGAGCTTGCAGGCAACAACAGAGAGACTGCTCAGTGGCAGGTCTTTGGATACGGTACGTGCGAGACACCTGGCGCGTGGGCTGGATTACTGCAGCACCTTATGCAATCCTGATGCGCCTTATCATGTTCAAAAGACCATCACTGACAGAGACAGCCTCCTACATCGTTCCAACCTCCGATACCCTTGTCGACGGCGCCAACAGCTTCAACGTCGACGACCCCAAAACCAAGCGCCGCGCATCCC